TTATTTTTATTTTATTTTATTTTATTTTATTTTATTTTATTTTATTTTATTTTATTTTATATTTGTATACGTAACAGCGTCACTCAGTACTAAGTGGAAAAATAAGGAAAGGTCACCAGACACAAAACACACAAAAGACAAATAGATTGGCTTTCAGTGGCTGACCCCCACAGGCCACTTGGTCATGACATGAAGAGAGCAAAAGGCAATCCACTTAGGGCTTCCTCTGTCTTTGTCCGGTCAGGGAAACCTGCCACCAGAGCAGGAAATAATCCAACAACAAGCTCCAGGGCACGTGATGAAATTCCTTTAATGTGATACACATTGTTCCAGACACTTGTTTATGATTTTTAGGCCATGTTTTTTGGGGGTTTTTTTGGCTGAAAGTGGTTGTAATTAGATCCAGGTCAGCTGGCACAGACAGATATGTTGCTGCTCTTTTTTATGTGATGTGACCGCGTCCATTAAAAAAAACCCAACGACACTGGGGGTTGGGAAGGTCTCTTTTTATGCTCAAAATGGAACAATATTACGTCCAGGTTACGGATTATACAGTTGAGAGACTTATTAGTCAAACAGGATTTTGTACTGTATAAACTTAACTTGTAATTCCGGGATCTTTTCTCCTAATTACGAGATAAGGTTTCTGATTTTTGTTTTTCCATGCGTTTCTGTATATTAATATGTATTAGCTTAAGAAACAAAACAAAGACTAAGCAGAGACTCAGAAAAACTGAGCTAATTTGTGTCTTTGCTGTGAATGACCCGAACCAGATCCTAGTTTTTTTACCCTGTCTGCTCTCAAGAGGTTTTGACATTAAGAAATATTCTTTAACCCTATAATGCCAAACGTATCAGGATACTACACAAAAAAATAATCTTGACTTATCGCATAGTAATAAATGATCAATATTAGAAATGTATTTTTGTTTTTTCTTTTTACATATTTTGTTAAAAGGCTGTTTTGTTGAATTCTTGGGTCAGGCTTTAAAGGGTTAATGGTGAATCTTAAATAGTTTTTCTATTGATTGCAAATCACCACTTCCAGTCAAACGCACCCACTGGATAGATTTCTCAATTTTAGTCGCTGTGCTGGTAATTTATCATGTTGGAAGTTGCGAAATTTGATGACTACCACTGGCTGGCCCCCCACTGATAATATTTCTATGAATATGATCTAGAGCCAGATAGGAGAAACGGCTCTTTGATGCCAGAAGTGATCCGATGCTTTAAAGACTAACAAACTGAATTAAAAACAAACTAAACCAATTAAATCAGAGCACATATTGTGGGGTTTTTATAAGAAACGGGACGATTCTGGACAGCAAATCTAAGTCAAAAACGCCTCCAACCTGCAAGGTGTGTTTGGGGAGAAGATGTTTAACCTTAACACGTATTTATCACCTTTGTTTTTCTCTTATAATAACACAATGACGATCAAAATCTGGGGTGTCACAGGCATAAAGGAGGGCACAGGGTCACAGCCGTCCCGACAGACCCTCATTAAAAGCGGCTCGAACTCAGAGATGCTGCCTGTTGGCCTTTTTCTGCCCTTTGTCCCAATT